GTGTGTGTGTGTGTGTGTGTGTGTGTGTGTGTGTGTGTGTGTGTGTGTGTGTGTGTGTGTGTGTGTGTGTGTGTGTGTGTGTGTGTGTGTGTGTGTGTGTGTGTGTGTGTGTGTGTGTGTGTGTGTGTGTGTGTGTGTGTGTGTGTGTGTGTGTGTGTGTGTGTGTGTGTGTGTGTGTGTGTGTGTGTGTGTGTGTGTGTGTGTGTGTGTGTGTGTGTGTGTGTGTGTGTGTGTGTGTGTGTGTGTGTGTGTGTGTGTGTGTGTGTGTGTGTGTGTGTGTGTGTGTGTGTGTGTGTGTGTGTGTGTGTGTGTGTGTGTGTGTGTGTGTGTGTGTGTGTGTGTGTGTGTGTGTGTGTGTGTGTGTGTGTGTGTGTGTGTGTGTGTGTGTGTGTGTGTGTGTGTGTGTTGTGATGTGCTTTGCTGTGTTGTGCTGTGTTGTGCTGTGTTGTGCTGTGTTGTGTAGAGTGTTGAGTGTTGTGTTTTGCTGTGTTGTGTTGTGTTGAGGTTGTGTTTGTGCGAACGTGTGCGGCGGCTTGCCAGTTTCTAGCACACAGCCGAGTGCATATCGACCGAAGCTGATGGCTCAGGCACAATCAAGCCAGAGATTCACCACCAGATCCCCTCGACCATGCCACGCAAAAAAACTCCAAAGGAGCAATGCATAAAGTTTTCATGAGCCCTAAACAGTGCTTGCATGTCATATCTCTGCTTTCGGGTCTAGTCTAAGTGTCTGTGATTCTTCGTGCGTTTCCAGCAACTTTGGCTGTCTAATTCCTGGAACGCGAGCATCAAACCGAGACAGCTTGCTCACATCCAATTCGAGCACTTTTTGAGGTTTGCCTGGCTGCTTTGGTCAAAGGCTCGGAGAGAGAACCCACAACTCGAGCGCAATTTCCCGCTATTCGGGCGCAACTCGGGCGCAATTCCAAAAAGTGTGCAAAGCCAAAGCTCTGCCCGGCAATCCGCGTGGTTGCATGCGTTTGCAGGTACCATTGCTCGCCCGAAAGCTCGAGCAAACGTTTGTGTATCAATGGGTCCTGCAGGTATTTTTATTTTTTGAACAAAGGGAAAGCATAGGGGATGTGTCACTCTCGACTTTCGATCCGTTTCCAGGCCCGTTTTCGGCTTGCGTTGCGAAGGGACGACTCCATTCGATTGCAGGTCCTGGCCCAGTGCCGGGGTATGTGCCGCCGGCGGCCATCGAGCCCCGGAGTTTGCCGCGGCGCAAGCTGAAGCCGAAGGACGGTCGGGGCGGAGCGGACGGAGCGGGATTGCACAAATTGTCAGATAATCCAGAGTGAGTTGACAGATCAGCAGAGAGGAAGACTGATCAGCGCAATGTTTTTGAGGAACATCACACTCGACAAGTACTCATAGGGGTCCAAAAATGCTTCGTCCTTTTGCCAGTTTCTAAAACCCAGCGTTGACCCTTTTTGAAAAAGTAAGCCGAGTGGGAGGCTCGTTAAGCAGCATCGCGCAGGAGGAAGTGCTGTTTGTTGTAGGCGTGTCGGCTGTCCCCGACGTCAAACCCACTGCGACGCATGGAAATGTCAGCTGTGGAGCACCTGCGCCTTGGTTTTGTTTCGATGTGGCCAGCAACAAAAAGACCCAGTAGTGCCCTGTTACCCTTCTTTGGTTGGGAGATTCGGTTGCCCTACTAAAATAGACGACCGACAAAAATCGGGTACCAACTTCTTCTAACCTCGCTACTGGAGGACCTCGAAAAACCAGCCGGTCGCAAGGCAGCGCGAGGTGAGATGAAGACGCCGGTCCATGCGGCTCGCTTCGAAGAGGTGAGTCTGCGGGGGGGGATTTTGGCGGTGTGGCCAGCTTTGGGCCTACGTATCAATCTAGGTCCCCAGTAGTGCCCCTTCTCAGCCCTTTTCTGGGGGAGGGTTCCCCTACTCAAATAGACTACAGAAAAAGGGTACCCTTATTCTAACCTCGCTACTGGAGGACCTACGTAATCAAGTCGGCTCGGTTCTGCCTTGTGCTTGAAGGGAAGCTCGCCATTTGTAGGGTCCCTTTCCCAAGTTTGTTCTTTGCTGTGCTCCACCTTGGCTCCTGGTCGCTTGGTGAGAAGTTTTTGGCTGCTCCACCTCCACGGATGTAGCCTTGCTGGGTGCATGTGAGGATGGCTATCAGGTGGAGCAGGCGGGATGACTGAGACGCTGTATGCTCAATGCTTTTGAGATCACCGCGGGAGCTCCAAGCAAACTCTCTGAGTCTCTTGCCCACAGCGAATCGACCTTTTGGAAGACCCCCGGCTGGTCCATTTCTATGGCCCCAGAAGGCGATCACCTTGTCTTTCTGGGCCGCAAGGGGCAAACTGAGCTAGCCATCTGGAGAAAATAGCGACGGTGGAAAGTCGCTGCCACTCACAAGTTTGGAACATGGCACCTTGCTCCATGCTTCCAGGCGGAAAAGCCCCGGCGGAGGTGGCAAGCCAAATCCAGGCAGGGCGGGCTTTCAGTGACCTTGACAGCTGTAGCACACGCGTTTGCATCGGTGGTGGAAACTCCCGTTCCCTTCACCACGTCATCCCCCAATGACCTCATGGAACCAGAGATCCTCTTCCGGCATGCAAAAAGGGTGGACAATCCTCGATTGTTTGGTCCGATGGGCTCCGACAAGCGGTCCTTGACAAAAGTTATGAAACCACAGAGGTCTCCATGGTGTTCTGTTCTGTTGAACAGATCAAAAAAGGTTCTCTCAAAAGACATACATATCACAGTGCTTCCAGTTTCCAGCATAGGTAAGCAGGGTTCCTTACCTCTGGGCTTTACATGATGGTTTCCCCTGGCTACCTCAATAACAAATGGAAGTGCTGAGTATATAGCGAGCTTGCAAGCGGGTGAGAAGAAATCAGCGGCGCGTTGGATTCCTCAGGCTGATTTGCGCCTGATCGGCCAGCGGCCAGTGCGCTCCAAGGCACGTCCCATCGCTCAGCGTTGAGATGGATTTGGGGCGTGGCGAAGCATGGGGTAAAGGGACTAAAGGAGAGCCACAGGGAAACCTACCATTCCCACTTTCTTGAGTTCCTGGACTGTAACAGCTTGGTTTTGGGACCATTTTAGCGGCAAGTTCCTTGACAACTGTTTGGTTTTGAACCATTTTGGGGGCACTCAAAAATTTGGTTACTTTTCCTGGCCCATCCTCTCGATCGGAAGTGAACACATGTTCCGACACCACAAGGTAATTTCTGCGGGCGCGTTGTCGGACCTCCAAATGCCGTGAAGGGAAGGAGTTCATAAGGAGCACCGGGTCACGACCTGTTTTTCCCCTGTCACCTGGTCACTCAAAGGGCAAAACGATTTGCGGTTTGCATACCGTTTCCGGGGATGCAAATGTGAAAAACGTGGCACCTGAACGAGGCGGCTGCTTGAAAGAGGATCTATCAGGCGGCCTTTGTTACATTGTCTTAAGCGTTATTGGCGAGGTGCGCGTTCGCAATTTGGACGAAGAGTGAGGGCAACTTCAGCTGACGGCCCCCCATGTACAGCTGGCCATTGGATTGGTCGAGGTTTCCTGGTCTCTGGAAAAACGAGGCTCATCCAAGCTGCTGCTTCTTGTGAGGTCGTCCAAAATGGTCGTGCGATCAAAGCCCCAACGAGAGCGTCAGCATGGGTGCGCATGTTCTTGTTGGCTAGTCATTTCAAAAGGAAACCAGAAGAGAACTCGCCAATGTTGAGAATCCCCTATGTTGAGACAAGCCATTTGTGACAACCTGACAAGGCTATCGTGCCCCTGTTTTCTGGGTTGCTGGAGCACCACGCGGTGCTGCGTTGACTTAGATTGAACAGGTCCTGCCACGGCCCTTTGCGTGAGCGGGTCCGACATCGCTGGGCATGGGAGCAGCGAATGCCATGTGGATACGGGTCAAGACTAAACCACCAGGGACCGCACGTTTTAGTCGTTGGTTCGATTTTGGGTACCCATTTTTGACCCACTGCCATGTGCCACAAGCAGGTCAAACGAGGGAAGCAGTGGATCGGTTGGATCCCCGCTAGTCAAAACGCCAGTGCCGCATGTGGGAGAGAAACACAACGTGCTTCTCGGCTTGCCCCGAAAAGTTCTATGCACAACCGCTGCCGGTTTCAGCACTTTGCACACATTTTGGCTAGGGAACTCCATGAAGTCCATGGGAGGGCGGGTCCTGGTTCCCTGGTTCCGGGTTGGAGTTTGGGGTTCTCAAGGCAAAAGGTTGAGAGGGAAGGAGAATCGAAAGGCCGAAACGGACAAAAAGAAAACCCCATATGTTGTTCCCAGTGCTTCCCCCTTTCCGGCCCCCCCCAAAGTGGCGCAGTCCAAAAAGTCGCGTGCCTCGTAATTGGTCTTCTAATTTAGTTTGGTGTTGAGGACTGGGCATGGGAGCATCATGATTTCTCAAGAAGGGATTAGATTCTCTTTGTTGCGGTTTGCTTGGATGTTAGGGCTTTAACTTTTCGCCAACTAATGGGGGGTTCCCGTATGAAACCACTAAAAGTTATTCAATTTTAGCAGGGGAGCAGAAAGCAATTCTATGACTCCGTTAGGGTCCCCGTTACTTGCCAACATGGAGGCTGGAGGGGCCTTTGCCATTTGCGATTAGTGTTCTGCAGTTAGGCGGTGGGTTCAGTTTGGCGTTGGTCATTTCTCAGTCCATTTTTCACAAGGATCAGGTGTCGAAGGCGATTCCTTTTGTTGGAAGGCCGCCTGTCATCCCCTGTGATCATGACTAGCTTTGTGTAAAGTACCCCATTCGAAAAGTCCTTCGGCCCTAGGTTTGAGAGGCGTTTTCCAAACTGAGTCACGATCAAAACCCGGGTAATTGGAGGGTAGTAAGGGACAAGCCCCTTGAAATACATGGGTGCGGATATCCGCCTTGGTATTTTTTTCACATGGGGTTACGACCATTTGAATTCCCAATTCGTGTTTTGGGGATTTGAACCCCCGGCCTTTGGCGGGTTTTTTTCGGGAAACTCCTCCCGACCAAGCCACCAGAGGGACGCTAAGCCAAGGTCGTTGTTCTCTCGGCTTCTTCCTGGCACACGCCTTCGAGCCCATTGTGGGTGGGAGCTCCAGCAGTGTCCGATTTGTCGCCCGAAGGTTGGTGTGTTCCCCTGGCTCGTTGTCTTTCGTCGTTTTCACATTGCCTTGTGGCCTTGGAATTTGGTGAACTGTTTTTGTGCTGTTTTTGTTGCTCCTGGGGATGTTCTTTATTGAGTGTTTTGAAGATGGTTGGTTATCTTGTGGTTTCCTTTTTGACAGCCATCAAACAGGAGACCGGCATTTTGGGGCAAGCGGCGACTTTAAGGCCTAGTCTCCTGTCAGTTGCTTGATCGGTGTAGGGGCGTAGATTGGGGTGCTGATGGCAGAGTGTCACATCAAACCTTTTTCATGAGGGTGCAGTGTTTCATGGTGGTTGTTGGGAAGCATTTTATATGTTTGCTTATTGTGGTTTAGTGGTGGGAATCCCCACCTAACTGTTAAAACTTAAATGTTTACTCCCCTTCCAACGTCAACCAAGGGGTTCTGGAGAATTCCCCTTGATGGGACACAGATGTTCTTCGACATTTGCAGCTCACGCACTCGTGAGCTACGATGACCACTTGTTGCATCGGACATGTTTGGGCGTGCGATCAATGTTGCTTGGCCCATTCTGCAAGTTATTTAAAGCGTTTAGAGCTACCACAAGCACGTTTCATAAAAAGCTTGCTTGTCTCAACGTCGTCCCGCTGTGGCCGAAAGTAAAGTTGATTCCCCCAAGAATCCTTGCGCAGCCACGCCGCCAGCGGTAACCCCAAAGAGACACCCATTTGGGTGCCCTGGATTTCATTTGTTTCTCGCCCAGCTGACATGCGCTGACATGCAAGAAGCTCTAAACCCAAAGTATGAACTTGCATAGCATTTTTTATCCAGCTGGCATGAAAATAATAACTACCCAAGAACAGCTTGGCAACGAAAGGACCTTCAGGGCCAACCTCGTGCAGAGGTATGTTTTGCATGCCTTGGGGTGGAGCCTTCAAGAACCAACGGAGGTTTAAGCGGAAGAAGTCCAATACCGCCTTTACAACCCAACCTGTTCCGGCTTGTGCGAGTTCACGGCTTGGAAACTTCAAACACCAAGGCCCACCAATCTGCGGCTGACATGCCACCTGGGTATTTGCATACCCTCTGGCTGTGAGACTTTTGGATGCATTGAGAATGGAGTTGTCAGATGTGAGCATGGCATGCACATGCGTGGAGCTGCTATTGGGTTGGATCTTTAGACTTTAACTTTTTGGGAAATCAAGGGTTTTTTTTCACCAAACCCCGAAAAAGTTAGACTTTTTGCAGGGGGAGTCAACAGCAGCCAAGATTCATGGAACTGTTCCCCTCTATAGGCCTCCCAACAATGCCGAGCAATTTGCAACTCTGCGTGTGTGTGTGTGTGTGTGTGTGTGTGTGTGTGTGTGTGTGTGTGTGTGTGTGTGTGTGTGTGTGTGTGTGTGTGTGTGTGTGTGTGTGTGTGTGTGTGTGTGTGTGTGTGTGTGTGTGTGTGTGTGTGTGTGTGTGTGTGTGTGTGTGTGTGTGTGTGTGTGTGTGTGTGTGTGTGTGTGTGTGTGTGTGTGTGTGTGTGTGTGTGTGTGTGTGTGTGTGTGTGTGTGTGTGTGTGTGTGTGTGTGTGTGTGTGTGTGTGTGTGTGTGTGTGTGTGTGTGTGTGTGTGTGTGTGTGTGTGTGTGTGTGTGTGTGTGTGTGTGTGTGTGTGTGTGTGTGTGTGTGTGTGTGTGTGTGTGTGTGTGTGTGTGTGTGTGTGTGTGTGTGTGTGTGTGTGTGTGTGTGTGTGTGTGTGTGTGTGTGTGTGTGTGTGTGTGTGTGTGTGTGTGTGTGTGTGTGTGTGTGTGTGTGTGTGTGTGTGTGTGTGTGTGTGTGTGTGTGTGTGTGTGTGTGTGTGTGTGTGTGTGTGTGTGTGTGTGTGTGTGTGTGTGTGTGTGTGTGTGTGTGTGTGTGTGTGTGTGTGTGTGTGTGTGTGTGTGTGTGTGTGTGTGTGTGTGTGTGTGTGTGTGTGTGTGTGTGTGTGTGTGTGTGTGTGTGTGTGTGTGTGTGTGTGTGTGTGTGTGTGTGTGTGTGTGTGTGTGTGTGTGTGTGTGTGTGTGTGTGTGTGTGTGTGTGTGTGTGTGTGTGTGTGTGTGTGTGTGTGTGTGTGTGTGTGTGTGTGTGTGTGTGTGTGTGTGTGTGTGTGTGTGTGTGTGTGTGTGTGTGTGTGTGTGTGTGTGTGTGTGTGTGTGTGTGTGTGTGTGTGTGGGGTTCTTGACGGTCTTCCCTGAGATGTCTTGTTTGTACGTTTGGGAAAGCAATCTGGGATATCTCCAAATGTACAAGCGTTTCCCTTGCAAACCAAACCTGGCCTTCCTTTTTCGACACCTCCACTGTGGACCAATAGGACCTGGCACCTTGCCCATTTCCCTAGACCTGTGCCCCAAGCGGATCACAGGTCTTCCAGTAAAAGAAAGCCACCTCTAGCTTATTCATTGGCGATTCCCGTTCTACAAGCCCTCTTTCGGTTCGTGCTTGAAGAAAATCGGAAAAAGGTAGCAGATCCCGAACTAGTTCGGTTTGGACGCCTAATTCTGGAAAACACCCACATAGAGGTGAAATGTTCCATGTCAAGGGGATCCCTGCGATGACACAAAAATAGGGTCCCCGTAATCAACCACCTGAGGCTGGAGGTTGGGTCACCCTCCAATAGTGAAAGTGCACCACCGAGTCGTGCGCTTCAACAATGCACTGGACCCAGATGCGTTCACTATTGGTTGCCCAAATGCCAACGGCTGTAGCGAAGAACCACATTTTCGAGGGTTGGGGGTTGAGCACATATGTTGCCTGATGACTTCCAGCACAGCTTCGGCGGGTAAAGAACACATTTTCTGGGCTAGTGACATGTTGCAACTGGGCTCGTGGTGACCTCTTTGCGGCGCTTCCTTCTCCAAGCCGTGTAGAGGGGAGTGCAAGTATCTCAGTCGCAATCTCAGGATTATTTGTGGTGGCGAAGCTCGTGCGCGGCTGAGTTTTACGTACCTGAGACATTGGGGGGGGAGGGGGAGGAATGTGGGACAATGTGTCCATGAGTGTGCGGCATTTGCTGGGAGGTCTTCAACCGCACTTTTCTCACAAGCAAAGGCATTTCCCCTTTTGTGTTCTGATGTTTCATGCCCTCGTGCTTGCTGTGACGTGTGGTTCTCATCGCCTGCGGCCCATCGGGCAATCAACGTAAACCGCCCAGATTCATCAGAGGTTCTTGTTCTTCTCTCAGTCCAAGGGTTGTTGTTCTCGCAATGATCCAGCAGCATGCTCCGCTTGAAAGGGGCACTCTGAGGCATCACTCCGAATGAGAACTGTACTTCTTTCTCCTGAGGTATGAATGGTCCGTGTCAAGCTCTGTTTTTTCGGGCAGCGTGTAGGGCACTCCAAACTATGAAAGGCGTCCCGGCAACTCGCCCGGCCAATCAGAGTCAAACCGCCCCCACAACCACCCTCTCGCTTTCCCTGAAACCATCCCAGCCAACCACTGGGGAAAATCAATTCTGCGTGCTTGGGTTTCCCTGGGTGTCCCTTTCAAATCATAGTGAAAGGGGCGCCTTCATAATTTCAAGACACCTGGCCTTCAAGTCCAAGGGGCTTGGTGGCCAAGCGGCTTCTTTCTGCTTCGTGTCTCCTTTGGCCGCCAAAGGCGCCGCCTCCATTCGAGTCAGTGTCTGAGTTCCATGGCGCCCGGACAACCAGGGGTTCCATGATTTGATCTTATGCACATGTTAAGCTGGGACCCCAAAGAGGGAACTCAGGAAACCCACTCCCATTGCTTCGAAGACGCGTCCCCGACTCCCATTTCCGCTCGCAGGCCGCTGGGAGACTGGGAGGTGCCTGGTCTTTGACGACTCCTTTGAGCATGAGGCACGCCGATCCAGCGGGGCTTCCCCAAAAGGAGGAATCTAAGAAAATGGGTGTGTCTTGTGTTAGCGGACCCCGAAAATGGTGGTTTTTCTTTTGGTTTCCTTTTAAAACCACCAAAGAACGAGGTACCAACAAAAAGACAGACCAAATAAAGCCCTCTTGGAGCGAGAAAGGGGATTTCAAGGGGCACCAAGCAGCTTTTCCGCCAGACTTACTTCAGGTTGAGCTGTTGTTTGAGGGAAGATGATAAGGAATCCTGAGGAGCGCGCAACGATGAGTACTAGATAAACAAACCAATCTTTGGTTGTTACTTCCTTTGTTTCCGAGCAACCTAGGATGAGATGAGTTTGTCTTTTTTCTTCTTTCCGAGGGCCCCTTTGTTTGGTTTGGACCGGAAAACCAAATTGAGACCACGACCCCACGCTTTCGGGTCCCCCGAAAACGAAAAGACGACGAGCCGAGAACCTCAGGTCCGGCACGAGGGCGCGGAAGCCCGCACCGTGCTGCTGGCCTGGGCCCCCGAGGAAACCGAGGGACCAGCTTCGAAGCCAGACGAGGTCCTTCAGCGAGTGCCCGTTTTAACACCCTTTTTGGTTGGGAGATTCGGTTCTACTAAAATAGACGTCCTGAAAAAAATGTGGGTACCAACTTATTCTAACCTCTCAAATCTGAATTACCTAGGGAAACCTACCGACCAAGTCGAAGCCGAACGGCGAGGGAGGGGTTGTTTTGTGTGTTTTTGTGGGTGGTGGTGCTTGTAAGAAAGCCTGAGCAGTTCGCGATTATACCATACGGGTTCCTAAATGTAACCATAGGAGGATAGGAGGATAGGATATTTCTGAGTCTTTGCAGACCCCGTATTTCAGACCAAGCCTACCTTCCAGTAGGTGACCTGTGCTGGCTGCAGGTGCTTTGTAGAGCGATCGTTCTTGTTGTTGGTTCAGCTTCATGCTTAACAACAATGAATTGCAGATTGACTTGGCACCCAACAAAAACACCACTCGTTGCGTTGGCCAACCGTTTCTGGGTTACATACTAGTTTGCTCGGTAACGAGTCTGAGGGGCCTCTCAACAGGCGTTGTTGAAGGAGAGCTTCCGGTGTTCCATGCGGGACGGCCAGACAGCACACCGGTTGATTCCCGTTTCAGGCGGTTCTGAAGAACAAGGTTTCGAAAGCGAAATCTGTTGTTTTCAGGTCTGAGGAAGTCAGCAAGCCATCATCTTGGGTGACATTGCGGGCAAGGCTGTGGGGGCATCCAAGGGACTTTGGCAAACGACTAAGCTGTAAAAAAAGTAAAAGTAGAAGCACGGTCTGTGCAAGAGGTTGCAAAGCTCGACTCTAGGAGCAACAAGTGATTAGGTAGATGAGCAGACGCTGTGATCGATGTGATTATATTTCCGACTTCTTAAGTTTAGATCGTACCCTGCAAGGCATGTCATTGCAGCCATGCCCCACGCATGACTGGTTTGCTGGTAGGCTCTTTTGTCCATGAGGTGAACTTCTGGCATCCCGACGCGGAGATGCACCGGGCCTACCAGCGGACAGGGGTGCATAGAGCAAGTTGAGGTTCCATGTACCTTCCCACATCTGAGGGTAGCTGCTTTTTCAGCAACAAAGATGGCAAGTGTCAAGCACATTCCTGTCGCAAGTCCCAGCCGGGCTGGTCAGCCCCAGCGCTTTTGAGAATTTTTTAGGCAAGTTCCGAGGGGGTCCCACATTCAGGCCTTAGTTTCCAAGCGGTGAACTCACAAATCAACTCGGCACTCTCACTCGGTGCCTCGAAAACGGCGACGTGATGGCCCTTCGGACCCGGAGGACTGGGGGCGGATCCCTCTCAGACACTTCCAACCAGAAATAGCTCCCCTTTTTGTTTTCTCTTTTTGCTTTTTTGAGGGGCCCTTTGTTTTCCACTACCCAGGCATTTGTTATTTTATTTGTTGCTGGGGTTCTAATTCCAGCCTAGGTCAGAAATGATCTATTTGTGGGGCTCTTCTGACTAGCAGGCTGAATGGAATAGTCGAAAGGTAGCATTGTGTCCTCTCTACCAAGCAGCTCTTTGGGGACATGTTCGCATTTTGCAACATGCGCACATGCCCCGCCGCGTCGCTCCTATTGGATTATTGGGACAATCATTTGTTGCCACCATCTTGGCTTCCACCGTGAGGTATTTCAATGACGCGCAGCCTGCGCAAACATCTTGGGCAGGGTATCATGCTGCCCGCCGCTTACTGTGCTCCGCGCGCATTGTGTATTTTGCAGACTCTTCGGCTGCTAAAAGTTGTTTGCTTCATGGCATCCAGAGGTCCGTACTGTGCTCAAACCCCATGAGTATAGATAAGCACTCTTTTACCCTCGACAATTATGGTTGATAGCTAGCGGCTGTGCCAAAATGAGGTAAGCATCAAAACTCCCACAAACCAAGTGCGATGGGTTGAGACTGAGCAGCTTGCCCTCTGAGAGCCGTGCGAACTATGTGCTCTGGACTAGGGGAGGTTCATGTAAACACCGGAGCTCCGAGAAAAAAAACAAATCCCAAAGGAAGAACAACCGGTGTCTTCACGCAAAACGCTCATGCAGATGTATGCAACTGCAATTGTGGGTGAGCTTGTTTGTACACTCGCCAGCCAAAGTCCCAGCTGAACAATAGCTACCCTTCCACCCACTAACAGATCTGGCTTGTTTGGCCTTTGGAGTTAAGACGTTCCACGTTGAATGTCTCGGCTTACCCAAAATATGGCGCAGTTGTTCGCCCGCAAAGCTGGGGTTATGGGTGCAAACCGCTTAGGCCGGAATGGCCAAAGGAGCCAAAGGAGCCAGCTGCCTGAGAGCCGGGGCCCATCGATGCCAAAAAGTTATGCTGAAGCGGGGATTTGCTCGCAAAGTTGGCTCCCATCAAGGGCCCTTAGAAGAGGTAGAATCACACGTATAAGATATAAATATAGTATACAGGCTCTCAAAATAGGGGACTTCTTTTTGGATGGGTGTTGAAAGGAAGCCCGAAGGAAACAACCTATGGGCGGGTGTTTATAATATATATATATATGTATATATTTTTCGGGAAGAACCGAAGCTCAAAGGTCGGCTTGGCGGTTTGGCAATGAAAGTGGGCGCCAGTTGCTACAGGGCTGCACCCGAGTGCGTAAGGATGCTTGGAACCGGGATGTTTAGAGGCCATCCTTGAAATGGAAGATACAAGTTGATACAAGTATCAAGTACATGGGCCTTGTGGTTTCCCTTAGACGCTTTCTCGCATCCGATACTTTTGTGGTGTGCCTGTTACATGGAGCAAGGATTGGCCATTTTTGGACAGAAGTGGAAGCTTCGGATCCGATTCTTCTAGGCCACAGGTTTCAGTGCACGCCGAGAATCGTCGCGACGAATGCATCGCAGCGGAGGGAAGAACCTGGTTTGATGGTTCATCGAGCCACTCGCTTGGCCAAGGCCATGCTTGAGCCTTGGTTTTCTTATCCACGTGTCTCAGAACGCAGGTTGCCAGTTACCTTGCCGCATTTCCATCAGTGGAAGGCAGACCCCAAAAGGACCTTTTTCATGTAAAAGGCACGGTGAAAACTTGGGAGTTTCGGGTTCCAACATCTTCAGCGATACCAAAGGAAGCGCTGCCAATGAGTCCCCGGCGCCAATAGTCGCACCCCAAATTGTTCCAAGCCCCACCCGGCGCCATGCGATGGCGCAGCGGCGCGAGCAGAGCACCCGGGTTTGTGCTGCTCAGGCCGCGTGAACGCCCGCACTTGACGCAAGCGAGTTAATTAATGGGCTTACACTGGTTTTAGTATGATTCATGCAACATTGATTTGGTCAAAGTTGTGTTCTAAAGCGGACTTCTGTTTGTTTGCTTGCTTGCTTGCTTGCTTGTTTGCTTGCCTTGTGCAGGGCACCCTCGCTCAAGCATGGGAACAGACAACAGTTTGTGGAGGTGGGCGCGAGCCCAAGTTGTGAACTGTTTTTGCCCTCCCTAAGTACCTCCTCAGCCAGTACTTGGACCCCGTGTTGCTCTTGAACGTGGACCTTTTGGGAGGAGTTGGCAACAGACACCGCAGGTATTCGACCACTGTAGAACTTCCCGGCCGGTTTCTAATCACATCTCCCTGACATGCCTTAGTTCAGTGCCAAGTGCCCTGATATCTTACGGGGCAAACAGGCCCGAAGTGCAAAAGAAGGTACCCTCCCACCCATCAACATGCAGCCTCACAGGAGGGTCCTGGAAGAACACTTTTCCTTTTAAAGGACCCCCCTGGCAGGTTCCATGTAAATGGTGGGAGGGTGTTTGCACCCTCTCAACCTTGGTCTTTCTGTGCAGGCCGGCGTTCGCTCCCTGCCTGCTGCACTGCATTGCACGGAGCCCGGAGGCTTCATAGATCAGAATGCAGACACATTGGATGGGCAGGTTTATCCTTTGCAAGTGCTCTTCTCCTTGCGAAGTTGCAGGGCCTGGTGCCACCAGGTCAAACATTGACCTGTTGGCATGGGCCTGCCGCACGTGGCTCATTGGTATGTAGCTTCCGGATTTTTTGGCCTTCGAGCGGGGGTTGAAATGGATCCTACAGTGTATCAGCAAACTCCTGCACCAGTTGGCATGGATGAAGGCCCGCACATACTGCCAGACCGCCACCTACCAACTGGTGCAGGATTTTGGCTATCCATGCCTATCCACTATTTCTAGGCACACACCCTCTATTTTATACATATATATATATATATGCCGGCCGGCTGTGCCACTGCCTTTTCCCCTTGGGGTGGTGGTTTGTGGCTAGTGGACACCATTGATCTACATGAATGGCTGCTGCGAGCTCAGGCGAGAAGCTGCTGCTTCCCTTCCTGCAGCAACGCGAAGTGCTGAGGCCAAATCGCCGACGACGAGACGACGGGCGCCGCGTTTTTTGGTTGGCGCCTTTCTTGGCTTTTGCTGCTGCAAGAGGCAGGGAATGAGAAATGGCATGACAACGAAAACGCCATCCAACTGGAGGTTTCCTTGAAGGGAGTCCCCTTCCACCGGTTCATTCCATTTATCATTCCCTTCTCGCACCGATCGCAAGTCGGGCAAAACCCTTTGTGGCTGCACCCTTTGTGGAAGCGGGCGAAGAAGAAGCCTGCTACTTCCCGCGGGTGCTTGTCGTCGAAGTCCGTTTTACAACCGTACTTGGTTTTTGCTGATTGTCGGAACTCATCGGAGTCTCGGTTGAATGGCGTTGGGCTTCCGAACACGTCTCCTCAAAGGGAGAGCCTCATTCCATTAATTTCAGATTGCCAACAACTATGCCTCCAAGCACACAAACGCCACTGCTTTTCGCGCGAATCATGACTGCGTTGGAGAAGGAGCTTCATGGGAGCCGTGCGAACCCCCCAATGACCTTGCAGTCTTGCTTCAAATGGCTTTGCCAACAAAGACTGGATATGCACCCGGCTGAGTCGCGGGCTGACGCTTGGGCTGCACCCTGCCTCCGTGAACTGGCAAGTGTTGCGAGGGATTTGCCAGTGGCCGTCGATTGCATTGGAAGCAAGTGGAAGCTTTCTGCATTTGACTCGGCGTATCCACTCATGCTCCCGGGACCGTGCAAAACACCATGGCCTAATGCAGACATACTTGAAGCACTGCCTGCCAGACTTGCCAAACTCTCATGGCTGCGCTGCATGCGTCGGAGAATCCGCGGCATACTGCCGGGATCTCGCCGATTTGCCCTTTCCCCTTTCGCTGGGTCAGATTGGTTTTGGTTCGAGTGGTCCCGGCACCGACTGGGGCTAGACGGGCCAGGTACATCGTGGCGTGCCGCGCATGCCATGCCAGTGCCCGGCTCCTGGATGAAGAAGCGCTCAGGGCAGGGGTGACGTGTATGGCCTCCTGGTGGTTTGAGCATCGCCTTGTGCTTTGGCAACAGATCTTTGGACTTTAAGGTTTTGGTCGAAACAGTGCGCATTTTCTGTGTTAGACGCACAAAAGTGATTCTTTCGAGGGGTCAACAGCAACCAAGTCTTGGGCCATAGAATGAGTGTCCTTTTTGTGGGGCCATGTCCTAGAGAGGACACATAGAAGTCCTGCTCACGCAAGCGGGCCAGACTCCTTGGAAGCCCTGTCCCTATCTCCAGTCTTTGGCTGGCTAGATGGCGAGCCAGACAGCCAGCCCGTTTCAAAGTATGACGACTTTCTATTGGGTGATTTGTTTCAATTCATTGACCCCCACGGGTCGCCATAGGGAGGGGGGGGGGGGTGACTCTCTTGTTATCCTAGGCTTATCCAGGGACGGCCCCCTATCCCCCCCCACAATCATGATCAATTGTCAGGACTGTTTCGGTGGCAAATGAGAAAAGTTGGGTGACACTTGGTTGGCCCAACAGGATTTAGGGTTTAGGGATTAGGGGCACATCCACTCGGGACGCGAGTTTTTCAGCTGCAGCCCCCTCTGTCAGTTTCCCACCTCATGCCAGCGAGGCACAGCACCAGGGGCGCCTGCAGCTGTCTACCGCCCCTTGGAGTTCCGTTTCAGAGGGACGTCCTCATGTCTTTCTTGTTCGTTTTTTTTGAGGGGGGGGGGGAGGGGTACGTGAGGTGGTTGTCTTCCTTGTTCGTTGTTGTTTGAAGTGGTTGCCTGAAGTTAGGCCCGTGAGGCGGTGGGTTGGTTTGATGTTTGCTAGAAGTTACAGGGCTCCTTAAAAGATACAAATTGTTCAACCATTTGAAACATGTTGCTTTTTCAACGCCAAAATCAAGCTGGAAACCACCATTTACAAGTTGCAATGATCAGGTGTTTTTCATGCATCCGGATCCCTGAGTTAGGAATCTGGTTTGAGTACACCTGAGGCCTGGCGCTGGCTTTGTTGGGCCCGTTCCACTCCAGGTTAACACGGAACCTAGAAAGCCACTTCCAGGCCTGTCTTCGCATGTTCATGTGAATTCGGGCAGTGAAGCGAGCTTTTGAGAGGCTGTTTATTTCTTTGAGGATTTTTGGAGGCTGTCGTTTGAATCAGATTTCGAAGGGTACAGTGGGTGACTCAGTTTGATCCCTCTTGTGGATTGGTTTCCTTTGGCCCATTTAAATGCCAGACAGGCGGTCCATTTGGAGACACACTCACATCATGTGTGAAGCTTGTTGAACCCGAGACCATTCGTCAGGTCGCCCAGCTGCCGTTGAGTTACAGCCTCGGACCGATGACACGGTCAGATATCAGGGACTCACGGCAAGTGCTGGTGCTCAGCAGGGAATTGCCCAGGGTTTCCTAGGAATGAACCTAGGGATTCTCTTACAGGAAACCATCGCGGATGGTTTTTCTTGGGGGGGCATTCCAACTCATTCCCTGCTGAGAACCCGCAAGATTATGAGCTTGAGGTGTGAAGCGAGCTCACCCGGAAGGTGATTTCGGTGGGCGTCCTTTTCAATTTTGATATGAGCGTGTCCTTTTTTTAACCAACCCAAAAAGGGGTTGGGCGTGTCTGTTTTTCGGAACTTTTGACCAACCCCTTTTTTGGGGTTGGTTAACAGGAAGCCTCAAGAAATACCACCAATTTAGGGGAGTCCTCTAAAAGGAGGCACGCCCATATGTGTGTTGTGCGGAGCTGATGCTGACCCATGACATATAAACTTAGGGGGAAGCAGGTGGCGCGATTGCCTTTGCGTGGATAAGCAGATGGGAAATCAGGGCTAGACCTGCACAACCAACTCTTACACTGAACAGAAGGCTACATTCAGAGTGTGCCTAGGTAGCCTTCAATAACTGAGGAACTGATATTGCTAGCGTGTTCACTAGGGTTCCGTGAACAGCCTATATTAGCCTCATGTTGATCATGCTCTCGGGCGAGGCCAACTGGATGCAGATCGCTTGGCAGCACGGCTGG